TGAGAGTTCCAGCTATCAATGAATTTAATAGTCTTTAATCATGTAAGATATTTCTAATTACAAAGCAAATTTTGCTGATTTTATATAATTGAATAAGAGAGGTATTTCAATATGTTACTAAATTTTGTCTGCCTGCTTATTATTGAATATAGTGAACAAAATCTGAAATAATAAGCTTGATATTATGCACGGTGCCTGCAGGTATCAGTAGGACAGCTATTCCTCATGGTTGAGCATCAAGATCAAGCAATAGGATATGTGCAGGTCAAAATTTTAAGTGAGCAAATTGATGTTTTGAGAATTTCAGCTGTTTCCTCAAGGTCAAGAGCCCCTCGGTAGTCTGTGCCTTATGATCTCAAAGACAATGACTTTGATTTTCCCAGTGATACAATCTTAATAATGCAGAAACAAAAACCTGTAATCAATGGAAAGATTCTTAAACATGTCTTCCCTTTTCTATGATAAAGATTCTCAAAATTCTTTTGCACCCATTTTAATTATTTAAATCTAGGAAAGTCTGGCCATGACATCATAGCCTTCTAACATAACTGGTGGTACTTGATTAACTGATAGAGGCACAGTAATGTATGTCCCTCAGAAAGAAATGCTGTCAGCTATTTAGTATTAGCACCTGTATAATATAAAACAGCAAAGATCCATTAAAATATTCAAAAGGGTTCAACAGAAAAGTACATGTGTTTGTCTGAACAATTAATGACAGCTTAACTCAGTTAATTGGCAGAATGTTACTTTTAATAAAAGTGCTGGTTGCTTCTTAATGTGTTCTCCTATCATGTAATTTGGAAAATTAAAAGCAATTTATAATCTTTTAAATAGCCTTAGTCTCAATAAAATTGGCAGGATATAAAGATGCAAGGAATTCAAAATTTTCTGAATTCAGTAAAACCTGAGAACCAAGCATACATTCCTTATAAGAATACTAATATTATTTAAATGATTGTGTATATTCCAAGAGCCAGATTAATGTCATTGTGGATAAAAATAACAACAGAACTCCAGATAAAACTCTGTCTCCTGTCTCCTATTAATTGAACATTTTCCTTTACACTATCAGAAGTCCATTGTTAAGATGATGACCCTGGAAAAAAAGATAAGTCAGAATGATTTTCCCAGTGTCAAATGCCAAAGAATGCAGCAGGATCAGGTCCAGAGACTTCCAAATGTAGATGCTCTCCTTGCATTTCAGCTCCTCTACTTCAAAATAAGCCCCACTATTCAGCTGGTTACTAGCTTCAGACTGGCTTTCCCTGTTTCACAACAAACCAGCTCATTTGGGAAAGAAGGCCATTTTTATTTACAAAATTATATGAAGCTTGACCTTTTTCCTTTACTGAATGAGGTTCTTTTGTTCCCTTAATTGCTTCTTCTGTAAGATATTAAGTCTGAGAGAACCTCGGTCCCCTGTGTTGATGAAAAAAAAAAACTCATCTGACACTCGGGACTTACCAACTTCTCCTATTGCCCACTGGGCTCAGATTCAGCTTGGGAAATGAAAGTGAGAGCAGCAGGCATCACGCCGGGGAGGGACTACTTTGGGCTATTCACTGACAAAAAAAACCCATGAATTTACAGAGCCTATCTTTCCTAAGTTAAATGTACATGCAGTTGATTCAATAGAAATCTCACACAAAGAGGATGCAGGCAAAGAAATAGAGCAGGGTAGACAGATACAGGTTTAAGGAGAAGCCCATTAACTGTTACAGCCTATACATAGGGGCCATTTGCGGACTTGTAGCTAGTAGGCACACACACGTCTGTGCTGTCTTCAGAAGGTACAGATCTCTAGTGATCAGTCACTTCCTATCATTTTCCCAGAAAGAAAAAATTGTAAGCTGATGTCCAGATTCTCTCAGTGAGTGGGCATTTCAGAGGTCCCCTGCCCATGATTTAGGCTTAAGGATGCAATGCATGGCTGACACGCACTGCACTGAGTGGACCAGCACTGCTAGGTTTCGGTGGAGCAGCGCTTCTGTTTTTCATCTGTGAACAACAGTAACAGACTGGGTGGAATGAATCATATTAAATGATTCCTAAAAGAAAATGAAAATGATCTTAAGCATGCAAGAAGTTTGAGAAGCAACCATTTTCTATTTCGGTTTGAGACTCTGACTAACAGACAGAAAATGCCCTGTTAATGAGAGACTTGGTAGAGATTTATGACAACAGAGGCTGTGACCAAGTCTTAAATATAAGGTAAAGGCAATCGCACAAGTCAAAGAATTATACATTTCTTCCCATGGACAACTACATTCAAAGTTAACAATCTCCCTTCATTAGATAGTAATCCTTCAGTGGAAATGGTAGGCTTTTAAAGGAACATTTCTATTTCAAATTTTAATAATAAAAAAACCTTTCACTAGCATGAACAATAACACAGGGTTGAAAGTAAGCTATTAGGCCTCGTTAGCTAATTGTGGTATTGGCATCCACTTAGGTTAGCTGGTTTTTCACTTGGGTCATTTTCGTCCATTCAACTGTTGTGGTTCCAAACGTTTTGACTACTTAAAAGGGAATACTTCATCGTTGCCTTTCCCCAGTCAAACTGCACACCACTTTCCCCAACCAACGGCTTCAATCATGCTCCATAAAATCCCCTGCAAGTGTATTGTTGGGATCATAAATCAGCCAGCTGAGGCTTTCGTATTTCCAAGGTAAGCCAGAGGGTCACTGGCTGGTAGGTTTTCATGGCTCCATCAAAATAAATAAATAAATAAATAAATAAAAGAATAAACAGAAATGTGAGTTACGCACGGTTCATTAAAAAAGGAAAAACAGCTCCCAGTGGTGTGTCGGATACTTGCTGCTGCACCCTTAATTAGAGAGGAAAACAGCAGCCTAGAGAAATTAGGCACTGCAATAAGGACTTCTGTTTCTAGGCATCTTTGACTTCATTACGACACATGGCTCCGCAACACTACATGCTTGTTCACACAAAAGCTAGTTCCCCCGGATACTCAACTATGGCTCTCTGCGTGTCATACCACTGCACTAGACTGAGATCTTCTTTACAAAGATGCCATCCTTCTGCCCTGTTTCGTTGACAGGGAATATGGGTTCCCCTGCAGGCATGCTTCCGTTCTACAGTTCTCTGGAACTACCCTGTGCACGGATTATACATCAGCTGAATCACAATTTCAAATAAATGTTACATATAGAAACCCAAGGTGGATCTGTCTTTGTGTACTATTTCTACCTAGATACTTAAACATTCCAGCCTCCCTCCGATCCCTGAATTCCAACACCTTTCGCATCAGCAATGATGAATGCACAGACTGGAAAACTGAGCTGATTTTCTCCAGACACCTCACAGGGTAATCATCAGCCTGCAGGAACTTGTCCCATATTACTCTACACTACACTCGCCTAATTGCATCTAAGTTACATTCTCAGCCTGTCTGTTCAGATTCAGACCGGTCTGTGTTATAAATGAACAGTTAAACACAATCAGCAGCCTTCCAAAGGTGACAGCTTGTATCTCGTCATGCACAAGGGTATGGCATACTGATCTTTGCAAGGGAAGTGACTGAATTAATGAACGAGACTAATATTAGCTTCAGATGAATCTATCTGCAATTTTTCCAAGACTAATATCTCCCATCCTATGTTAGGATAAGAAAAAGAGGAGCTCCTGACTGAGGTACTTTATAAATGAGAGGAATATCCGGCATGTGCATTCTAACTTTGGAACATAAAAATCTGCATCCAATCGCGGTTCATCATTTACTAACACTGTAGTTTGAAGAGAAGGACAGAGAAAGGAAGGATTTACATCCAAAATGCCAAGCCCTGCTGAAGAATGATAGAAGGACAGTGTGTGCGAGAGCAGAAACAATCATTTCTTGCTTAATATGGAGTTCTACCACCCCCTGCTGGACCAAATGAGCAACGCCGAAGAGGTGAAAAAATGCTTAGAATTGGATTTAGAGAAGATATTTTAACTTATCTTGAAATTTATTAATTTCGTAAAAAATGCAGCCCAAACAATATGGCATTTCTATACTTCCCAACAAAATGAAAAACCATGAATATTCCCACTGCCTTTAACGAATTCCACCATCGCACATTTTGACATTTTGTCTCCCACATTAAATGTCCAAACTTGTCTGGACAGTTGAAAACCTTTCGAATGATTGTGAATATATTTTATGCGAACGTGTACTATGTAAGACAAAAAGATAAATTCATATCTTCTACACAGAAGGCTAGCAGAGATCGCTTCAATCAATTGTCCCTAGGGTTATTCTACACAGTCTTTTTTCCTCCCCCACCCAAATTAAAAAAAAAAAAATGCTCCACAACCTCCCAAATCCCTTACAGGTGTAATTCAAATCGGATGTTAGAATGTGTTCGGATTTTTCTATATTCACAGGAGGGTGGGGGTCACAATGAATGCCAGCAACACAACCCTAGTTTTAGCCATTTGCTGTCTTACAGCATCTATGGCCCGTTAGTTTCCAACATAAATAAGCCATCAAACGTTCACTTCACAGCCAAGAATAGGTGTTGGGAAAGGAGAAAAAAATCTCCAAGAATTGAATTTCTTGCACACCACAGAGATTTTTTTGATAAAAGACTTTAATGCTGATAGTTTTTGTCGCTTCTGTAAAACACCACTGTGCCCTTCCCTTCCGCAACCTCAGATATTTAACTATGAATACACACCAACAACACTCATCCAATTTCGGGTAATAAGAGAGAAAGCCAAAAAAATCCCAGAAGAAACAGCAGTTTCCCCCGATCTCTCTCCCACCGATGCCTAGCTCCAATTCTGCACGGTCTCCTCTTATTTAAGGGTCCTTCGAGCCAACAGAGAAAATTTTAGGGACAGCCAAAAGAAAGAGCTAAAATCCTAACAGTCGCCTGGAGAAGCACCGCAACTTTGGTGCCTTGGTTCCATCGCTCCAGTGCCTCGCTCTTTGCCTCTCTGGGTTGGGTGAAAGGGGGAGGGAAAGTAAAGCCAGAAAGCCGCACACTCCTACCTTGCCCGCTACTGACAAGCAACCCGAGCAGGTAGAAGGAGAGGAGGAGGCTCATGTTCAGGACGTGACACCGGCGGACAGTTCCAAAGTTATTAAGTCCAGCCCCGGAGAGAGAACCTTCCGCTGCCACGGCCGTCTCTGCTAGCCCGCCGC